TTTTGCAACCAAACCATCATTGACAACAGAAGGCCAGCCACTCCATGCTTCGTCATGAACATCAGTGCGTTCAGCATTGAATTGTCGAACCCACTTTCTAACCATTCCATCACTCATTACATTTTCACCATAAATCTCTATAAGTTGATGATGAATTTCAACTGGCTTAACATTCTTTGCGTTCAAAAACCGTATTACAGAATGCACTTCACAGTTGGCAGGATCAGCAATAGTCTTAAACATTTTGAATGCTCACTAACACGTGGAAAAACAACACAATCCGGCTGTAATGGCATCACTGGACTGACAATCAACCAGAGAGACGTGTGCGCAGGTGCTGAACTGCGATACTACCACTGCAATGGCAGTAGAACGAAACGGTATTTACTTTCCGGACATGCCTCGTATATATATAATGTATTTATTTATTTAAATAAATAAATTTAAAAAACATATGTTAAATTTAAATATATTTTGGGATGCTTCAGACGTTCAATGGTATTGGCATGAATTTTAAGTGAGCTTTTCTTGAAAAAGAAGAAGGATTATTCAATGAAGATTTTGTGGTAATTTCAAGCATACTTACTGACAATAGTACAGTAATACCCCAAACTTATGCGATAGGTGGGACTGAGCGATAACCGTGTAAGTTGAATTCATGTAAGTCAGGGTATAATTTTGCAATTTGTGTAAAATCCAAGTCGGATGTATGTAAGCTAATAAATGTTCTTGTTAATCTTATATCATCTTTTGATTTGTTTACGGTTACAAGAAATCACCACATACAGACTCTCAAGTCTCCGTAGATATAACAAACACAGAAATAAATAACACAAAATAAGTTGTAGCTATGCATTGATTCTGCGTGACACGTCCGAACATATAAGCTGAACAATAGTGTGGGGAGTGAGTAATCAAGGGTTGCGTGGCGCTCAAACAAAAGACAAATCGATAAGATTTGAAAATCGCATAACTCTGGGTTTGCGTAAGTCGAGGTATTACTGTATCGATTTTACTTATTATGACTGGAATTGAACAAAATGCAAGTCCTTTATAGCATTCTCCATTGAAGAGAGGGCAGCCTTCATTGACCAGAAGTAGTAATGTCATTAAGTGTCTAAAATCAGCCAAAGTGGAAACTATACTCTGTAAATAATGTTCAACTCCTATGGAAATGGAGAGGAGTAAAAATGTATATGAAGAAGAGAGGGAAAATAATTTTGAATCTGCACTAGTAAATTGTCTTGAGTTGATGGAGAAGAATGATAGCTTGACAGCTACTAGTTTACAAGAGTTGACAAAACTAACTCAACCCTCCATATAGTTTTATAACTGAATAAATTTTGGAGGTTAAAACAGAAATTAGTTTGATACATCAGGACATTAAAGATTTTAAGACCAAGCTTGGTTCATTGAAACAGAAGGTCAATAAATTAGAAACAGTTCTACCAGATTTAGACAGGAAAATGGAAGCTCAACAGTATATAGCAAATAATATTTTAAATATAACTAATTAACTTAATCTGATGTTATTTGACTGATAACATGCATATTAAAGAAAGCCTAATAAATTTCTTTAGGGAGATCCTGAAATTGACAAAATTTAAAGAGGAAGAAATAACTGGATAATATATTATAAGAAGAGCCCATGATCCTAAATATTACAATAAGTACTATTAAAAGAAAAAATTAAATATTATCAGTGTTTTATAACTATAAAAAGTAACCTATGAAAAGACTTACAGCAATTTATGATTACTTCTTGATTTCACTAAGAGACTAGGGATTGTAGAGCTAAAGTTCTCCCACTTTATATAGAAGCAAAGAAGAAAGCTATGCAAATTCTATTAAGAAACAATTATATAATTTATAAAACTACTTATAGTTTTATAAAGAATTGCTTGCTCAACAGTAGGTCTTTTTTTGATGTAGAAATCAATTGACTAATTTATTTAGTGTGATGAATACTATTGTTAACCACAATAGTAGTGATAATTTTGATGGATAATATTCATCATTAAACAAAGGAACTGAGATCAAGGTCAGAAATAAGTTTTTTCCTGTCTATTTCAAAAACTGTTAGGGAGTATGATGTCTTATGATTAGAAGAAACTTGAATTACTAAACTAACTGAAAAGGAGATTAATCTCTTGCAAGGATCATTCAATTATATTTTGGTTCCAGCAATAAAAAAATCTGAAGTTGTTAGGCCAAAGGGAGATATGATGCTATTAATAAGTAAATCTGCAGTCTGTTAGGCTGTGCTATGAATTTGGCCCCAGATTTGTACCGCAGCCTAAGCTCAGGTACGAAAAGATCATCATTGATGTATAATAAGTAAATCTCTGGAAAATTTTGTTCATTCGTATTGGAGTTCTTACTTAATATTTGTTATGGTTAAATTGGAAAATCATAAACTTAATGGGCTCACTAATGATTACTTAATGGTAATTACTAATTATACTCCTCCTTATGAAATGCTCCAAAGTTCTACACAAAAGATAGGTAGATCATTCTTGGTCTGGAGACTGAAGGAGATGAACAGACAGCTCTATGCTCAAATTTGAAAGTGATCAAAGAATTTACATATATTAATTTTTTTTATACATGGAATGACCTTGCTTCTTATGCCATTATTTTTGATCATCTGCCAAATCTTTGGATATGTAATATGCCATATAGTAATGTAATACCTTACATTTTTATAATGTAATATTTTTATATTAGGTTATAAAATGAAAAAACGAGTAGGTGGAATTGAAGAATTTGCCTTTGAAACATTGACAGAAGGACAGCAATTACATATCACATTAGCTGTGTCAGGATGGCTGTCAGAAGAAGGTCCAGGTACAGTTTATCAGCATTTCATATTTTAAAATTAAGTATATTGAATGAAAAATTACATTAAACATTGGATTTGGAGCTACTAGATTTTATTTTTTAAGTTGAAATATTTTCCTTTATCATATTGGAATTTTAATAAAACTAATTTAATTTTAATAACTGATTATGTATATGTGAAATAATCAATATACTGACTTCCTTCAAATTTTCTTCCTTAGACTAAGAAGGTTCTACACTTTCTCCTATATTAACTATTTCTTGCAATTGCTTCATGTCTAGTTATTTGTTTACAAGTTCTATTGTTAACTATTATCATCTGTCTTAGATACTAGACTTATTATACTAGTTGTAAAGGACTTACAGCATGGGAAATTTACAGATTGAAAGCAGCTATATAATATTTACAAGTTTGTTTACATGAAGTGGCTGATTAGGGACAAAAAAGGGACACCAAACCACATTTTTTCATTTGTAAATGAATTAATAATAAAAGATGATGACTTCCTGAATATGCTGTAATTCCTTTACAACTGGTTTAATAAATTTAGTGTTTGAGGCAGATGATAATAGCTGACAATAGAACTTGTAAACAAATAACTAAGACATGAAGCAATTGCAAGAGATATAAATCATATGTCCACCTAAAACAGTGTATTACTTCTTGGGTGATGATGTCCAAGGACAGCAATGGCAAACCTTTGGAGTTGGATCAAAATTGAACTTGAAATTTATTAACTCCAAATTGCAGATCAAATATTTAATTTTAATAAGAAAAAAAATGCTTACAAATTTTATTTTAATCTTTTAATTTACATCACAAAACTAATAATAAACTCTTATATTAGTGAAAAGAAAATAATATGATTATAATGGAAACTAATATTTCACTTAGTAAGAAATCTTCTGTTGTTTATTTGATTATAATTTTTATATTTGAAGTTTGTAATTAGTGGTCTTTTCATGATAACTTTATAACCTCACTTTCATACTACCTATAAAAAATTTTAAAATCTCTCACTTTTTATAATTTATAAACCTAATATTTTCTAAACATTCCTTATGGGTACCTTGAAATCACATGGGTCACAGGTTCACCATCGCTGTCTGAGGAGATAAAAGTTGGCTTTAGGTGTAATAAAATATTGACATCCATACTAATCAGGAATGTAAGTAACACTGTCAGACAAAAGTAGTAACAAACATGCATGTAAAAGGTATGCTGTTGTTTTAAATTTTCTTAGGATTGATTAGAAAAAACTTTGACTAAAAATGTCTTGTAGGAGATTATTTCTAAGGAAAGTTTGAGAAATACTGATTTTAACAGAAAAAAAACAAAAAAAAACTTTATTATTTAAAGATATTTACTAATATTTTTCAAAACAAAATGTTTCAATTATTAAGAAATAAAAATTTGCAAACATTTTATAACATTATTAACAAACAAAAAAAGCAAGTGAACAGTTAGTTATCTATCAGTTATGAGGTTTGTGATTATCTCCTTAACTATACATATCATTCTTATGTGCAATCTTTGAGTCATATTTATAATAGTGTAATATATCATATTATTTAGAAGTTACTCTAGAATGCAAATTATATATATTAATTATTTCAATACATTTATTATATATTAAAGATTATAGATAATGATGGGTTCATTTGAATAAAAATTAATTGATTATTCAAAATTGAAATCATCCAAAATATCCCAAATAATTTAAGAGTCATTCAAATGATTTACTAAATTTTCTTGAAATGTTTTAACATTAAAACAAGAAAAAATTGCTAAAAAAAATTACAAAAATTCTTTCATCTACAATTTAAATTTTGTACCAAAAAAAATTATATCTCTCAAACTCTTATTTCAGCTCATAAAAGAATGATTTTGTTTTCTGAGGCAGGCAAGCATTGCATCAGATAGGCAAATTCCTATAACATGTTATAAAAACCAAAGATTAATTAGATAAATTATTTAGATTATATTTCTTGATTTTTCTCACAGCCAAACTGTCTTAGTTTTAAGCATAGTTATTTAAAATAAAATTAGTTTGATTATTTTTAATTCTATTTAAAGCATTACATTATTAATAATGGAATTTTAAAGCTTGTTTGAGACACTTACATTTTTCTATTTAATACAGAAAATATAATATGGTTATATTTTTATTTTAACACAAAAATCTGAGAAATTGCAAGACTGAAGAATTTAACTGAAGGAAGGATTTTGACAGATATGAATGATTCATTTGAATGATCATTTGATTATTCAAATATAATCAAAATTATATTTTAATTAATAATTATAATTATAGATAAATGAATTTTAATTATTATAACAGTGATAATTGAGAATAATATTTATAGAAGGCTTTCAAGAACCATGGCAAACACTTATGCATTCTAGAGAACAGTATTGTCTTAGATACGAATCAACCTACTTCCTGGAGTTAGGCCGTGCAATGGATTATCTTTTTAGTTTTGCTGTTTCCATGGCTGCACAAGAAGCTTTAAAGTATACAATACTTTCAGGTAAGTATTAAATTGGCTGATAAAAGAGAATTAAAGCTTTTGAAGCACAAGTATAGTTAAATTCAGTGGATATATGAGGGTCTGCTGAAATGTTTTGCTACCTTTGTCATATTTTTATTTTAAAGTAGTGAGAATTGGATAAAACCAGTTCTATTCCCCAGTTATCTCTAATTTGATCCCTTAAATGTTCCCAACTTCAAAATAGAAGTCTGTATACATTATAGTATTCCTGTGCTTTTCATTGAAAATTTCTGAAATTTTGCAGAGAAGTTTGTTTATTAGGGAGATTGACACTATTAAATTATGATAGTTAAAGGTCAATGAAGTGGGGAAGTAAATGGAGATCATGTGTCATATCTTGAATAGGTTGGACTTAATGATGATTTTACTCATAATTAGCATTTACAATTTTTTATAAAACCCATCCTTACAGTCAAAGTCAAGCTTTTTGCTATTTTATAGTAATTAAAAATATAAAGAGTTTTTAATAATAAAATGTCATAACAAATGGCATCCCATACACAGTTTTAAATGTTGCTGGATTTTTTATTTTCAAATATAGCACTATACATACTTGATAGTCTATCCACTAGCTTTAATGTAATACAGCATTAAAGACACTCACTAATTAGTTTATTTCATTAATATTATTACATTGAAATTTATTATTATGTTTATGAATACCTAAATACAATATTGTTTTCAAAATTTGATTTCATTTAGCAATAAATAAATAGCATCTCTGTACACTATTTTACTTTTGTTTGAAACATGTTACATTTGTTTGAAATAAAATTGTGTACTATCAGAAATTGTAAGAAAAGATTACTTTATTAGAATAAAATGCAATTTTAAAAAAACATACTTTTATAAAAAAATGTAGAAACAAGAATTTCTTTTACAAAAATAGGAGGATATCTCTTTAAAAAGTTTGAGAATCACTGTGTTAACTGCTTATGCAATAGTTTAAGAAAAGTACATTGAACTAAGCAGAAAGAAAAAATAACAAAACATTTATATTTTACACATCTTAAAGCACATTTAAGAAACAAGTGTCTAATTTACCAATAATCATCTGAAAGATTTCTGAATTTTAATACTAGTAAAACTTTTTAATCATTTAATTTTTGACTTTTTTGTAAAAAATTTAATCAAGTATGTTGGAATTTAATTATGTGAACTGTGTGGCAATGCTGAATACATTTATTATAATCATAGATGCATTTCTAAGTGTTAATCTTATTTTACTACTAAAATAGAAAATAATTACTTTCTTTACTTTAGGATTAATAACTGCAATTACTTGGCCAAGCACCATAATTACAATTGCTGGTATCATTGATAATCCTTGGGGAGTCTGCATCAATCGATCTGCAGAAGTAGGAAGACATCTTGCAGATGTTCTTTTGGGAAGACAGCAGGTTTTATTAAATTTTAATATTTAAAACAATGTGTGTATTAATTTCAGAAATTAAAAATTATTTTTATATAATTTAAGGGAAATAGACCTGTAACTCTTATTGGATTTAGTCTTGGTGCAAGAGTTATTTATTATTGCTTACAAGAAATGTCTAAAAGGAAAGGTATTTCTATTTTCATTATTTATTTTAAAATAATATTTAGTAATACAGTAGAACCTCGATTATCCGCCCTAATTGGGGACTGGGGTTGGTCGGATAATTGAAAAGTCGGATAACCGAAAAGTATGAAAAAATCCATTATTAGTGTAGTATATTATTATATCCCATGTAATTAGTATATTAGTATATTAGTATATCGCTATTAACCTATTTTGCGTTGAATTTTCATCGATGTTAAGCCTAACAAAAATTTTTTAAAATAATAATCGTCGCTATTGTATCGTTAAAAATTAGAAAATTAAGCTTCGTTTAAATACTGGCTCCCTTTCATGGTCGAATGAGTGTTGCCAGCTAAAACACGTAAAAATAATATTAAAGTAGCCAAGACATAGCCAAATATTGTAGCGCCACATCACTAGCGGACATTTGAAATTTGCCGACTAGGACGGTCGGTTAACCGAGGGGTCGGTTGATCGGGGGGCGGATAATCGAGGTTCTACTGTAATTTTACTTATCTATTTATGATTTACAGTTTAAATAAATTTGTGAGGTTTTGCAGTGTTGTTGTGTCATAATCAGGCCTGATTATGACACAACAACACTGCAATAAATTTGGCTTACATAAATCTCAACATACTATAATGATACACCTTGTCGAAAAGTTACTTTCACATGAGTCTCAATGGAAAGTGAAAATACTCAACTATAGCAAATAAACACGATAAGCATTTATTTAACATTAACTTGGCCATGCATATTTCTAAATAAACATTTTTTCTCCAATATCAAAATATTTATAACAATCTATTTGCACAAGAGAATGTGCTATGTTAGCTCTTATCTCTGCTAGAGATGTGAAGAACAAGTATGAGGCCCTTGAAAATTCTGGAGAGAATATGTCCATAAGGATTCCTTTCATAAGAACTTTCCATTTTCCTCAACTGACACTCTTTTTTTTTTTTTGTTTTTTCTTTTGTTTTTGCATTCGAATTATTTTATTTCCTTTGGGTCAGCCAATAGCATGCAGGCAAATTTTTCCTTTCTGTTTCTAACAATTTTTATAATTCCCAGTTAAATGAAAGAATGATTATATTGTGTTTTTTTGAAGCATTTGAAGTTTTATATTGTTAACTTGATTGTCCCACATGATAATGACAGAAAAGTTTCAATAAGAAGGAAATTAGGCTTAAGTTGAATAACTTTAAGTCTAATTTTTTTGTGATTGACTGTTCAATAATGAAATTGAGTTTCACTTTTCACTTAAACTCAAATTCTCACAAATCTATAGTTATACTCATTTTCTAAATGACTTTATAATCTGTGTACATTTTTTTTTTCTTCAGTAAACAAATTTACTTTTCTATATAGTTAATTCTTGGTTTTTGTTTTTGTCATTGTGTTTTAAATAAAATATTGCACAAAGTTTTATTCTGAAATATTGTTTATTGATTATATTACTCAAATTATTCTATGCAATGTTTGTAATCTTATTGTGAAAAAATTGCATGTGCTAGAAAAACAAGTTTTAATTTTAGTATTCAGCATGACTGAATTAGCAAAGAAAAACTGATATAGTAATGCTGGATTCTAATAGCTAATGATATCTATAAGATTATTCTTTTAAACTGTAAATCAAATAGACTCTGTACATGATATATGTAACATAAAACAAGAGTTTATTACAATTCTTGTTTATAAATAAGGTATAGAATACAAGTAAGATGAGTTATAATAATTATTTGTTTTGTTGGGAAGTCTTTTAAATAGGGCGAATTTAATTAAACTTTAATTAAAGATAACTTTAAACTTACTCAAGCCACTATGGTGCTTATTTTAGATGATATAATAATTATTAGTATCAACAATTAATTATTTAAACATTATTCTAATCAATTTTTTTAATTATTATTTTTCTGATTATTTGACATCAGGTTGTGAAGGGATTATTGAAGATGCCATTTTATTAGGAGCACCAATATCTGCTGATCTAAATAAATGGAAGTCTTTAGCAAGAGTTGTGTGTGGGAAAATTATCAATGGATATTGTCGGTATGATGACTTATTAATCTATCAATACTGCTAATTTGAAATGTGTATGTTAGAAAAATTATTATAAACTAAAAAAATTTTGTTCTTAAGAGAGTGAAAAGTAAAAAACACTATGTTATTTCAGTGGAGATTGGTTGTTAAAATATTTATATCGTACATCATCTGCTACAATGAATATTGCTGGACTACAGCCTATTAAATGGAATAATAGAAGAATGTGTAATGTGGATCTTAGTGATATTGTAAGTAATTATTCTCTTAAATATACTAGTAATTAAGTGGTAATCAAATACAGAACAATCACCACCAGCTACAGAAAATTTTTGATAAATAACAGATATTTTTATTTTAACATTTTTATGGATAAATGAAAACATTAAAGTTTTCTAAGATAAAAATGAGAAACCGATTTAAAAATAAAATAAAGCCTTACAGCTGCCTACCTTCCTCAGACAAAATTATACTCAATTTAGTTTGGTTTTTTCATAAATGGAAAAAAAAAAAAAACAAACTGCATGTAGAACACAATCATCAACGTGTTTTACAACCATTTCAAGTGAAAGTAATGTTTTAACAATAATTGTCTGTGACAAACTAAGATTTGTTGCAAATTCACGAGTTGTTATTTACCAATCTTTAACAATTTCTTCCCGCAATTTATCTTCAACAGCTTTTGGGGGTTTGTACATTTTGTACCCTTTAGTTCAAAATTTACCAAAACTTTGAAAACCACATTTGACATGTTCAGAGCTTAGAAGCATCTTCCCCATACATTGTATGAGTATTTTTTACAGTTTGTATGATGTGATATTCTTTATGAAACTTAAAAAGCATGCATAATATGTTCGATGTGCATTTTGTCTGCACACATTTTAACCACTAGCGTAGCAAGGGGGGCAAGGGGTTCTATCATGCCCAGGGCGCCACTCGCAGAGGGGTGCCAAATGGTCTCCAAGACAAACAAGATTTGTTTCTGGGGGAGTGTGAATAAAGTGTCGTGCCCCAGGCACCAGTTATGTTTGCTACGCCACTGATTTTAACTTGATTTTATTCAAATGAAAGGTGATGTAAAAAGTTTAAAATAAGCTTCAAAACAAAGAATACAATCTGACATCAGGAATAATAAGTTAAATTTCACAACTTTTAATTACATCACCCATTTATGTTAGGTAAAAACAGCAGTTAATAAAAACATGCAAAAACTTAATTTGAAAAGTTAATTTTTTCTGTAGTAATATCATTAAAATAATAATTGGTCAATACAAATTGTTTTTTTTTCTTAATAATGGAAAATGCAAATAAAATCAAATTAATTCAGCTGAATCATTAAAAGGAAATTTCTAAAATTTCTAAAAGGTAAAATAAACTTTATTAAATATATTTTGATGGTGCAGAACAATTGGAATATCATACATTTGTGCATTTTTCCTATCAATTTTTAAATATGTTATCATCAGAAAATTTTATGCACTTAAAATGTATCATCTAACTACATATTTATAAAATTTAATAACNTTGATTCTGCGTGACACGTCCGAACATATAAGCTGAACAATAGTGTGGGGAGTGAGTAATCAAGGGTTGCGTGGCGCTCAAACAAAAGACAAATCGATAAGATTTGAAAATCGCATAACTCTGGGTTTGCGTAAGTCGAGGTATTACTGTATCGATTTTACTTATTATGACTGGAATTGAACAAAATGCAAGTCCTTTATAGCATTCTCCATTGAAGAGAGGGCAGCCTTCATTGACCAGAAGTAGTAATGTCATTAAGTGTCTAAAATCAGCCAAAGTGGAAACTATACTCTGTAAATAATGTTCAACTCCTATGGAAATGGAGAGGAGTAAAAATGTATATGAAGAAGAGAGGGAAAATAATTTTGAATCTGCACTAGTAAATTGTCTTGAGTTGATGGAGAAGAATGATAGCTTGACAGCTACTAGTTTACAAGAGTTGACAAAACTAACTCAACCCTCCATATAGTTTTATAACTGAATAAATTTTGGAGGTTAAAACAGAAATTAGTTTGATACATCAGGACATTAAAGATTTTAAGACCAAGCTTGGTTCATTGAAACAGAAGGTCAATAAATTAGAAACAGTTCTACCAGATTTAGACAGGAAAATGGAAGCTCAACAGTATATAGCAAATAATATTTTAAATATAACTAATTAACTTAATCTGATGTTATTTGACTGATAACATGCATATTAAAGAAAGCCTAATAAATTTCTTTAGGGAGATCCTGAAATTGACAAAATTTAAAGAGGAAGAAATAACTGGATAATATATTATAAGAAGAGCCCATGATCCTAAATATTACAATAAGTACTATTAAAAGAAAAAATTAAATATTATCAGTGTTTTATAACTATAAAAAGTAACCTATGAAAAGACTTACAGCAATTTATGATTACTTCTTGATTTCACTAAGAGACTAGGGATTGTAGAGCTAAAGTTCTCCCACTTTATATAGAAGCAAAGAAGAAAGCTATGCAAATTCTATTAAGAAACAATTATATAATTTATAAAACTACTTATAGTTTTATAAAGAATTGCTTGCTCAACAGTAGGTCTTTTTTTGATGTAGAAATCAATTGACTAATTTATTTAGTGTGATGAATACTATTGTTAACCACAATAGTAGTGATAATTTTGATGGATAATATTCATCATTAAACAAAGGAACTGAGATCAAGGTCAGAAATAAGTTTTTTCCTGTCTATTTCAAAAACTGTTAGGGAGTATGATGTCTTATGATTAGAAGAAACTTGAATTACTAAACTAACTGAAAAGGAGATTAATCTCTTGCAAGGATCATTCAATTATATTTTGGTTCCAGCAATAAAAAAATCTGAAGTTGTTAGGCCAAAGGGAGATATGATGCTATTAATAAGTAAATCTGCAGTCTGTTAGGCTGTGCTATGAATTTGGCCCCAGATTTGTACCGCAGCCTAAGCTCAGGTACGAAAAGATCATCATTGATGTATAATAAGTAAATCTCTGGAAAATTTTGTTCATTCGTATTGGAGTTCTTACTTAATATTTGTTATGGTTAAATTGGAAAATCATAAACTTAATGGGCTCACTAATGATTACTTAATGGTAATTACTAATTATACTCCTCCTTATGAAATGCTCCAAAGTTCTACACAAAAGATAGGTAGATCATTCTTGGTCTGGAGACTGAAGGAGATGAACAGACAGCTCTATGCTCAAATTTGAAAGTGATCAAAGAATTTACATATATTAATTTTTTTTATACATGGAATGACCTTGCTTCTTATGCCATTATTTTTGATCATCTGCCAAATCTTTGGATATGTAATATGCCATATAGTAATGTAATACCTTACATTTTTATAATGTAATATTTTTATATTAGGTTATAAAATGAAAAAACGAGTAGGTGGAATTGAAGAATTTGCCTTTGAAACATTGACAGAAGGACAGCAATTACATATCACATTAGCTGTGTCAGGATGGCTGTCAGAAGAAGGTCCAGGTACAGTTTATCAGCATTTCATATTTTAAAATTAAGTATATTGAATGAAAAATTACATTAAACATTGGATTTGGAGCTACTAGATTTTATTTTTTAAGTTGAAATATTTTCCTTTATCATATTGGAATTTTAATAAAACTAATTTAATTTTAATAACTGATTATGTATATGTGAAATAATCAATATACTGACTTCCTTCAAATTTTCTTCCTTAGACTAAGAAGGTTCTACACTTTCTCCTATATTAACTATTTCTTGCAATTGCTTCATGTCTAGTTATTTGTTTACAAGTTCTATTGTTAACTATTATCATCTGTCTTAGATACTAGACTTATTATACTAGTTGTAAAGGACTTACAGCATGGGAAATTTACAGATTGAAAGCAGCTATATAATATTTACAAGTTTGTTTACATGAAGTGGCTGATTAGGGACAAAAAAGGGACACCAAACCACATTTTTTCATTTGTAAATGAATTAATAATAAAAGATGATGACTTCCTGAATATGCTGTAATTCCTTTACAACTGGTTTAATAAATTTAGTGTTTGAGGCAGATGATAATAGCTGACAATAGAACTTGTAAACAAATAACTAAGACATGAAGCAATTGCAAGAGATATAAATCATATGTCCACCTAAAACAGTGTATTACTTCTTGGGTGATGATGTCCAAGGACAGCAATGGCAAACCTTTGGAGTTGGATCAAAATTGAACTTGAAATTTATTAACTCCAAATTGCAGATCAAATATTTAATTTTAATAAGAAAAAAAATGCTTACAAATTTTATTTTAATCTTTTAATTTACATCACAAAACTAATAATAAACTCTTATATTAGTGAAAAGAAAATAATATGATTATAATGGAAACTAATATTTCACTTAGTAAGAAATCTTCTGTTGTTTATTTGATTATAATTTTTATATTTGAAGTTTGTAATTAGTGGTCTTTTCATGATAACTTTATAACCTCACTTTCATACTACCTATAAAAAATTTTAAAATCTCTCACTTTTTATAATTTATAAACCTAATATTTTCTAAACATTCCTTATGGGTACCTTGAAATCACATGGGTCACAGGTTCACCATCGCTGTCTGAGGAGATAAAAGTTGGCTTTAGGTGTAATAAAATATTGACATCCATACTAATCAGGAATGTAAGTAACACTGTCAGACAAAAGTAGTAACAAACATGCATGTAAAAGGTATGCTGTTGTTTTAAATTTTCTTAGGATTGATTAGAAAAAACTTTGACTAAAAATGTCTTGTAGGAGATTATTTCTAAGGAAAGTTTGAGAAATACTGATTTTAACAGAAAAAAAACAAAAAAAAACTTTATTATTTAAAGATATTTACTAATATTTTTCAAAACAAAATGTTTCAATTATTAAGAAATAAAAATTTGCAAACATTTTATAACATTATTAACAAACAAAAAAAGCAAGTGAACAGTTAGTTATCTATCAGTTATGAGGTTTGTGATTATCTCCTTAACTATACATATCATTCTTATGTGCAATCTTTGAGTCATATTTATAATAGTGTAATATATCATATTATTTAGAAGTTACTCTAGAATGCAAATTATATATATTAATTATTTCAATACATTTATTATATATTAAAGATTATAGATAATGATGGGTTCATTTGAATAAAAATTAATTGATTATTCAAAATTGAAATCATCCAAAATATCCCAAATAATTTAAGAGTCATTCAAATGATTTACTAAATTTTCTTGAAATGTTTTAACATTAAAACAAGAAAAAATTGCTAAAAAAAATTACAAAAATTCTTTCATCTACAATTTAAATTTTGTACCAAAAAAAATTATATCTCTCAAACTCTTATTTCAGCTCATAAAAGAATGATTTTGTTTTCTGAGGCAGGCAAGCATTGCATCAGATAGGCAAATTCCTATAACATGTTATAAAAACCAAAGATTAATTAGATAAATTATTTAGATTATATTTCTTGATTTTTCTCACAGCCAAACTGTCTTAGTTTTAAGCATAGTTATTGATTTCAAAAATTCTTTCACCAATATTTAGAATGGACCTTTAGGGTGGGCATAGTCTGTATATTATTCCGTTAAACATTCATATAAATTAAAAGATATCATCTAGGTAAGCGTTATATTTTTGGTGTCAGCAAGTGGCGAAGGGCAAGATGCCTATGTATACAAGATACGTAAGCACACGGCACAGTCGCGTGGTTGGCGAGATACACAGTGCACGTGTCTGAACTTGTATAACTATAAAGGTTATCTTATGTAATAGTTTATCACACCAAATGACCAATCTAACACGTTTTAAAAATTCTTTATTCCTGTACTGTATACAATTTAAATAATTTTTAAATGTGTTAGATTGGGCACACGGTGTGATAAAATCTTACATAAGATAACCGTAATAAATATAAATCAAATACTATAATATAATATAGTGGAAATGTTAGAAGTATGAAATAATCTAATAATCTTAATATTTGCTGTTGTTATTTTTTGCTGGAGCACCTCCAGGTTCATCTGCTAGTTTTCGTATAAATCAAACTCTTGGTGTCCATTTTGCTTATGTGGCCATGATAAGTGTGTCCTAAAGTGACATTTATCTCATTTTTATGACAAAAACAGGAACACCCCACATTCCTAAACTTAATGTATTGTTTAAAGCACTTTAAATGGAATTAAGCTTTGTTGCAATAATTTTGAAAAACTTTGTTAAGATCCTTCTAATACATGATGTGAAAATAAAATAAATCTTTATTTACACTTGACAAATTAAATTTATCTTAAGAATTTATTAAGAAGAATAACAATTATGTATTTATTCAATAATTTTACACAAAATTTGATTGAATTTTGTAAAAATATATATGTAAATTAGCAATTTCACTCACAACATTCAACAAAAAAAAATATCAATGAACCTGATGTAAAAGTGAGTTTAATCATTAACATTGTTTTTTCCTGACACTTTGACATTTCTACATATTTAGTAACTTTTGTTTAATAAATTTGTTTTCTGAATTATTTTGTTAAAATACAGTATTTAAGTAAATTATTATTACTATTTCAAAAATATATTGATTCTGTGTGTTGGTACTAAACAATTCCATTTAGTGCTGTACTGTACAGTACTTGAATGAATCTATAGCAAACAACCTGCATTCACTGTACATATATTCTCTATTTTAATACTCTATTATTTAGTGTTCATACATTAATAAATTTGAAAGTTCGAATTATTGTGTGTTGCAAAAGATTATAGATTTATGTGAATATATTATTATTTGTGTATCATCTATATTAAACTTTTAGCAGGATTCAGTACTGCACTCTAATTATAGTTTTATGTTATGCCAATTTTTCATAACCCCACCTAGGTGGCCACATCAATAAGGTTTTACTATATATTTAAATTTAAATATAATTAAAATAAAATTTTCAATGTTGATATATAATTTTAATAGTAAACTTAAAAATGCTTACTGTTTCACTGTAGGTTTCAGGTCACATGGATTATGCTCGTAAAATGGATATGATATTAAAAGCTATTGGAGTGAGAACAAAGGATGAAACAGATTCAAAACTTCGCAAATCCCATTCAGATTCTCCGGTTTCAAGATCAGAGATATTAGCAAGTAATTTAAAGAACAAGTCAAAGTCTGAACCAAATTTAAGAATTCACAATCCTATTATTTTGGAATCATCAAGTAGTAGATTAAGTTCTTCACTTTCATTGAATAGTTTAGAAAATAATGCCACATCACCTATTACTTTAAAGTCACCTGTTACAGTGAAACTTCAACTATAAGTACATAAGAGAAAGTTAAAATGAAAAATTCATAACAAGATTAAATTACTTAACATATACAATAATTGATATTTCATATAAATAAAACATATCTACTGATAACATTATTTTTAGGATGCATATGAACGGATTCTGATTATAAGCATTATTCTTATATAGAAAAACATAATTCTTTGATACAAAGTTTGAATAATAGTGTTTGATTACATTGAAATAAATATATAAAAAATGAATTTTACTAAATTTTGCAATATAAGAGAGCGAGTAATTTCTGATACCATTCAAAGTTTCATCTCCTAATTGCAAGAAATACAATAGACTCCACTTATCCAAGATTAGATTAATGGAGATATTTAAAAGATTAACTTTTGCATTCATAAATGAGTGCCAATATATTAAGAACATGATTCAAGTCAAAATTACTCATCAAGTAGTCTGAACTTGATTCATGTTTGAGGCTCTTATTATTTACAGGGTTTTTCTGTACCCTCTGGAAAAGGTTGATATAACAATCAAATGATAAAAAAAAATGTTAAAATATATTAGTAAAAGGCTCATATATCATTAGAAAATGTGCAAGTTCTGTCTGATAATACTAAGAGTCTATTATTATTTTCCAAATTTGCATTTACATATTTTCTGAATTTTATGGACAGAAATTATCAATCATTTGGAATTATCTTTGTCCCATTCTGGATAATTGAGAGTCTGTTGTATACAATTATGCAAAGATAATTTATAATGAAACATTCATATTAAGGGATCAAAAATTAATATTATCTAATAAGAAATTTCCAATTGATAATCACTGAATCAAAGAAAGTAATTTTTAATCTAAGTCTATAGAAGCTTTTTGAAAATGTATTAGATAAAAATAAAATTGAAAGTATACGTTAAAAATTTTAATTTTATATAAAGTAGAATATGAAATTGTAATTTGAATTGTAAATAATTTTTACCCAATTTATATTAAAAGAAAACAAATTTATATTTGTAAAAATAGAATGATAATTTATATAGAAGAGTAATTTAATAGGAGATTATTGTTAGATATACAAATACTCTAATTAAATATCATTGTAAATATTGCACAGTTCCTGAAAGTTAATATGGTAAAACCTCATTAATCTGTTTTTATTTAATCCTCAATTAAATATGCAGATATGCAAATTTTTAAACAGTTAAAAATATCTCTCAATACAGTACAAAATTTAAAAATTTATTTTTTTGGCATTAGAGTCAGATAAATAATCAAATAAATTAGTATAAATTTTAATGCTAGAAATGGAAAATTTTAGACTTTTGTATCAATCTATCTAATGCATTAAATCAGGATGGTTAGAGCACTTGGTACAATTAAATATTTGTAAATATTTCTTAGAAGAAATTAAATTTTTGGATATAAGAAAATGTTTAATTTATAATACTTTGTCATAAATCCAATAAAGCATATTTAATTTTGTTAGAAACTACTTGATTTGAGATGAATATTTAATTTACTTAACCATGATTTTTTAAGATTAATCATTTAAATCTTTAATCAACAAAATCAAAGCAATAGAGTATTTTGTGCTTCGAGAATTATTTACAATATTTAAAAAATTATTTCATAATAATTTTTCATTTCTATTAGTAATAAAATTCATGTAGGAATAATACAAGGATCAATTCCAGAAATATGAAACTTTTATATATTTTTGACAATTGCTTGTCAAAAAATATATAAGTTTCATAATTGTAAATCTAATAGAAGAAATTTTATTGCAAAAAGTTTTAAATGGAAATTAGATGCTTTTATAGACATAAATATATATATAAATAATAACATAGAATTGTAGTTGTATATCATAGATTTTAAACAGCAGGTTATTTATACTTGCTTTTAGGAATACCTAAGGCTATATAGCATTTATAAGCTGTAGTAATATCTTAAATTGATTACAGTGAAGAAATATTTCACAAAAGTATAACAATTTTTTATATTAAATCCAATTTATTATCTAGAATACAATTTACTGAATTAGAATCTTTTATTTTTTAATTAATAAAGATAAGACTATACTCAGGATAATAATAATTATATAATAATTAGTGCAAAACTCCATTAAAAGAGAAGGTACAACAAGTCCTCACTTAATGTTTGTCAATAGGTTTTTGTAAACTGCAATGTTAAGTGAAATTATGTATGACAAAACAAATTTTATTGTATACTAAATGATATAAACAAGAGTTAAGTTCGTAAATATATTTCTGGTCATAAAAACATTACCAAACTTCTAAATGAAGACTCAAAATTCTCTGAAATGAAAGATTAAAGTAAATGTGAGCTGCACTAATCATATTTATGAAAGATTAATAAAAATAAATAAGATACATAATTACTTACCCAATTTTTGAAATCAGTGAGTAGCAGCAGTCTTAGTGCTGGTGGTTGGCATAGAGACAGTCACATAATTCTCATCACAGGTGATGGGTAAAGATGAGTAATAAAAAATGCTTGCAAAGTAAAAATTATAAGGAACACCACACAGTTCAAAAACATACGTTTGACAATTCCAATGAATTATAAATAATAGATGCTATGTAAATTTAAAATGGCAAATGCAAACAGGGCAAGTTTGTATACAATTTACAAATCAGTCAAATTTACATTGACATTAAATTATGTCTTATGTAACAAACACTGCAATATTTCAATATTGTAATAATAATGATGTGTTATGTTTTGTTAATTAATGTGGATATAGGTTCATGTTTGAAGATGAAAGTATAATGAATGCAAATTGTATTAATCAAATTTCAAGGATCTATTATTGGATTGTATCTGCAACCTCCAGCATATACTTCTATCTTATAGAATTCATATTATTCTTTATAAACAAACTTCAACAAAAATAATTGTAAATGATTACAAATGTACTTGCATATTTCCTCAACAACATTATAGTGAAATGACATTAAATGAAGTGATGTTAACTGAGGACTTGCTGTATAGAAAAACAAAAAGTGAACATACTTGAAAATGGGACTGTAGTTCTTCAAATGATTTGAAAAAAATTCAAATAGGTAAAGCTAGAGCAAATATTTTTAAAAAGAAAAATTTTGACATTTGCAAACTTTAACTTAGTTTTAAATTTTAAAAAATGTCAGTTTTATGACAACTTTTACTTTTTTTCAACATGTTAAGAACAGAGAACTTTCATAACTTTTTAAATAATGGAAATGTCTATTTCAATGAAATTAATGAACTGTAATGATATCAGCTGAATATTCAAAATATGACCCTCTTACAACAATACAGATGCCAATTTTTTCTTGTTGAAATAATAATGTGTATTGTCTCCCATTGATAAAAGTCTAAAGTAATATATTTTGATTTTAATATGTTAACAAAAATATAATTTTCCTTATTGAAAAATAAATAAATGATTGCATTAATATCATTTAATGTATTTCTTTACTGTTTATAATGTATTAAGTATTGAACTAATATATTTGAACCCAGATTGTATATTTAAGAATATGACAACACATCCTAAACTTTACAATTAAGAATTGGAAGTATAACTGCTTTTTGGTGTTGATATGAGTGAATTAATTTAAAACACAAGTAAAATTATATTTGTGAATATTTTCAATGAAAATTACAAATTTATTTTTTCAGTTATAGAACAAAGAACCAATAGAGGCAAAGAATCAATTTTTTTGCCATTTGTACTTTGCCTGAAGATTAATTTTTTTTTCTTTCAAAAGTACATGCAAATATAATTTTATCTTTTTGTGTTTTAAATTAATTCAAGTATATTAACATCAAAAGATACTTATGCTTTCAATTCTTAATTGAAGCCAAATGTTATAAAACTTAAAAATTTTTCAAAAACAAATCAAAAATTTCCATAAAATATTTTTTTAAAGTGCATCTCAATCTTTTTTAAAAACATCTTAATTTTATCTCATGATACAATAAAATTAAAATCAGTCAAATTTTTAAATGTGTTCAATTCAACAAACTGTATTCACACATATAACTTCCAAATATGTTTATAGTCTAGTTTATGAATTGAAAGAATGAGGAAAAATTCCTCATTATTTCAATTGATCATCAGATTTTGAAATTTCAATTATTTGTTTAGAATTTGATTCTGGTAGAATTGTATTGTATTTTCATTTAAGTAAATTTTTGGTCATTTTATTTGAATTATTATTATTACTTTTTTAATTTTTTATATCATAATCGTGCAGTTGACATTTCAAAACACTTCAATGTTTAGAATTGCTCATTTTTAAGAAAGATTATTACAAAAAATATTAAATGATTTACTACAAAGGTATGCAAATGAAAAGGTTACTTGCAAATAGTAGATTTTGTGACATTAAATTAAAATTAAGTGCTTAAAACATTTTGTTTTTATAAAAATAAAATTTTTTATAATATCTCTAGTTTTTAATAGATAATTATTACAGTTACTTTTGATTTACAATTAAATTATCCTTAATCATATTTGTTACTAATTTTATACTTTTAAAAATTGTTAATTGTATGAAGTAAGCAAGGAAATAATAATAATGTTTTGTCTCAATTTATATTTTTCTTGGCATGGAGATGTTTTGTATTATTATAAATTAATTCATGTAGACTACATCCTCTTCATATTTTTCAGATTAATGAGGTTTTAAATGATTTTTTTAACTTCTATGTTAAGAACTAATGTTAACATGTTATAAAAAATTATTTGATTGTGAATACTAAGTATACGTAGAAAGATATTTTATTATAACAATTGGCAATGATTGCCGTTCCAAATACCATATCAAAATACATATCATATTTGTAACAAATTATTTTCAGATGGTAATAAAAAATGCTTGCAAAGTAAAAATTATAAGGAACACCACACAGTTCAAAAACATACGTTTGACAATTCCAATGAATTATAAATAATAGATNGTATAAATTATGAAAATTTGCTGTCCTTGCCATTTGCCCCTGGCAATGCCCAGTTGCCCCTATGTTAGCACTAGCTTACATATCTGTAAACATATGATACTATCTATTAGATAGTATCATATGTTTACAGTAAATTCAATTGCAGAATATATACTGTAGTTAAAAAATAATAAACTAAAAAACCTAAAAAATAAGACTGTCAAGTGCTCTTGCACAAGTTTTCCAGTACCAATAATTTACAAAATTAGTGTGTGTGTAACATCATATGTTATGAGATTTTATTAAAAAATAATTTATAATATTCGTTATTATAAAAATGCTATTGGCTTATTTTTGGGGCCTTACGACATTTTCATGATACGATCTCAGTTTCGGAACGGATTAATTTCGTATCCTGAGGTACCACTGTATCTGTGTTATGATTTTCTACATTAAGATTTTATATTGGCATAAACTCCAGAGTTTTGGATCAGTGTACATAAATTTGTTATATATATTTTACAATATATATGATAAATGAAATATTTCTAATATATGATCAACAAGACACTAATGCCAATAAATTTCAAGGAATCAATTTATTAGCAATGATGTTTTATTGATGATATAAAATGGAGTTGCTTGTCATTATTGACAAGCAATAAAGAACTGATATCTGAAATTATTTACAGAATAAGTTTCTTAAGCAAGAATTCGATTAGCTTTCTAAATGGACATTTTGTTATCGGTTAGATAATATATCTCAATAGTTGAGTAAGATTTTCTGACTGTAATGAAATATTTCACATGTTTGATAAAATAAAATAAATAATACATTTTCATCAGACATTGTTTTTTATTAACAGATATTTATCTGGAAAAAGATGATTTGTATAGAAGAGAAGGGATATTTGTATGATTTGTT